GGGGCCTTACAAGATTTTGCTATGGGGCCCTGTGATTTCTAGTTACGCCCCTGAATGGGGCCTCTTGTCTGGACAGTAGCTAAGAGAGGGTTTTGGTTACTTTGAAGAGAACTCATCTAACTGCCTGTCTCAAGATGTCTGAAGACAGAAAGTGAGGGAAAATCTGTCCAAGGGGACACAAACAGCTTTAGACCCACTTTAAATAAAGAGCACATCCATTTCTCCTGTGCACATTCCAAATAGCGCTGAATTTTCAGTGCTTTATCAGCATCTTCGCTAGACTCAAATATGACTGATTGGCTTGACCTTTATATGGATTTCAGAATTTGACTCCATCTTTAAGCTATACTCTGCATCTCATAAAACTCAGTAGGTGTTTCCATACAAGAGAAGCCTAAATCCCACCAACATTAAAAAAGTATGGTAAATACCAGCTTTTAAATAAATATTAACATATAGAGCACAGGGAATTAAAAAAAAAGACATATACAGAATGATGAAAAGGTCTGTGAATGGCAGGAAGGTTCTAGTCTGTAAAACGGCTAACATTTCCTATTAATAATGACATACTGTCAGTGCAGGGAAAATAAGGACTATTCCAGCAAACAATGCAAACACATATGTGAAAAAAGCTTTGCATATATTTCTGGAAAGAGATAAATACAAACCTAGATTCTGCCTCACAAGTGCTTCAATGGTCTCAATGAGAAGCCGACCACAGCATGCATTTTCCTTGTAATAAGTAATAATACTGCACTTCACACCGAGTCTGATAATAAAACCTTCATTTGCATATTTTAGCACCAACAGCGCTCGCAATAATCCCATGATTATATAATTAAGACTCATCTTTAAATCTGTTCTTTTCCCCCACTCTTTTGAGACACTCAGATATTATTTGACCCTTCTATCTACTCTCTTTCTGCTTGCTGACTCTGAAAGGAGAAGCAGTCTTGAGGAAAATGCTTAAACATAGGCCATTTTAATAAAAAAAAATGCAATATCTCCTCCATGGAAAGTTTCAACTTATAACAGAATTCTGTCATCTGTGAAGACTCCGGTCCCAAGCTGACTACTCATTTGAATACATTAAATGATTTGTCCTGTAATAATTGCTATTATATAAATTAAACTTGTCAATCATTGTAAGACTTGGCAGAATTGCCAAATGTCTGGTTAGTGGTCACAGGAACAAAAGCAATACTCTGGAGAACATGGAATTTTAGCTCCGTTGCCAACTGTGTAGATCACGCTGCAGGGGCATTTGCTGTCGTATCTCAACGTACAAGACTAGCATGTACCCATTTTTGGAACAGGTTTGAAAATGCTCACTTGGGACACAATCTGAAATAGCCACAAGATCAGTGTCCAAAGCAAATGAGGGACAATAAAAGTACTTTTAGGATGACTACATACACTAACAGATGCATCATTGCACAATGACTGCATACACTCACAAAGTATGTTTCTTTTTAGTTTTTGGCCAAGCACATAGATATCATGTTTCCAAACAGCTGACTCCTGACTTTACAATGACACTTGATGTCACATAAAAGTTCAAACTAAAATTAAAGGTGTATTTATAATCAATTCGCAGAGCCATTAGTCCTGTGAAACTCTGTAATTGTTCTGTGTGAATGGAGGCAAAAACAAGTATTCTTATTAGATTTCCTTTGCAAGTCGGATGTAATATCTGGAAAACGCCATATTATGGCCACTAGATGGAGCTAAGGAGCATAGAAAATAAATACTTCTTTCCCCTTCTCCTGTGTGTCTCTACATTTGCCCCAGGTATATATTTAAAGGCCACACTCAAGCTGACTGTGCAACCCAATTTTTATGTACAGTAGGTAATCATATGGGAAATGTATTTGTATATACTGCTATAACATGCATAGAATAGGGTATATTATAGTTCTGAAGAAGTGGAATTTATATCAGAGAAATGCGTATTCCATCACCTATTCAGAAAATACACAGTATTTGATTTACAATGTAATCTATGCATATGGTGGAACAAAATTCATGTGTGGATAGCGAATGGGTATGTTGGATGGGGATAACAATTATTTGAAGCTGTGTATTATATGAACTATGGCAAAGGCTGTTTTCCAAATATGTTTTAATATGCTATTAATAAAATTAAGGATTTTATAAACAATTTAAAGGTCCTGTCTGGCTACCTAAAAAGTCAGCCTTTTCTTTATTGCACATTATGCAGCTGAATTATATATATGGATGTGGTACCCTATATAGAAACTCTTTTTTATTATATTCACAATGACACTCAATGTCACATAAACCATCAAACTAAAGCTTCAGCCTTCAGCCTCTATAAACCCTTTATTGTATAATTCACAAGTCTGTACCTCTGCTCCCTATGTTCTATAATTGCTGTGATTTTACTTTGTGAATTTCATCAATCATAAAGCCTCCAAATTGTTTCTTGACTTTTGTTTATCTCAGGTGACATTGGCAGTGCAGAGGTTAAGTGATCATAGTTCACCTCAGCCAGGATTATCTGCACTTCTCAATCAGCAACCAAAGTCCAAGTGATGGGTGACGAATTGTGAGAGCTTTTATGAGTTGTATCTCCTGTGGTTCCCACCTGCCCATAATCAAGACTATAGTGGAACACGCTCCTGCATAAGCTTTCCCTGCTGGGAATACATGATGAGACAAGCCATTTCCAAGGAAGACCTGGGAAATGATGAGACAAAAAAAGTCAAGGTTTCCCTCATTAATTAGGATGAAGTGTTTTACTCTGAATGTATTACAAAGAAATACAATCAAAGTACTAATATATTTTAAATGGCACCCCAACGACCTAAGTTGTGTCATGCCGCTTACGCATAGTAGTATGGTGCCATAGGTTGCATTACAAAAAGAGTAATATGTGATTTTAAGAAATGTATTTTGAATGGGCTGCCTTAATGCAATGCACATTAATGGGCTACCTAACTCACCTTAATGTACCACAAAGATATAAATAATCCCTTCCGTTATTTATTTCCAGGTATATTATAGATAAATAACTATTTTTATACAGTTTTCACCAGGGCCAGTGCAAAGATTTTTACCTACACAGGTGAAGGTGTCAACGCACTTGTGGTCCATTAACTCTGCCTCCCATCCAAGTTGCTACAAGACTGTATCTTGGTACGGGCATGGACGGGAGTAGAGATGCACCAATACTATTTGTACCAGACCGAGTATGAGTACCTTTCCTCAAGTACTCACCGATACCAATTACTGATCCCTTTTTTTGTGTGTCATGTGACAATTTTTCTAAAACAATACAGACCAATGACTTTAGGACAGTGATGGAGCGCCAGGGCCCTGTCACAGCTGCAGCTGCTGCGACCCTGGTAGTTCTGCCACTGACTCCAAGCCATAGAGGGACTAGAAATCTCAGCAGTAAATTATACAGCAATGCAGAATACCACCAGCTATAGAGAACTACAAATCCCAGCAATACATTAGATTGTAATGCAGTATACCCCCCAATTATAGAGGACTACAAATCCTAGCAATACATTATACAATAATGCAGAATGCCACCAGCCACAGAGGACTACAAATCCCAGCGATACATTATACATCAATGCAGAATGGCACCTACTACAGAGGACTACAAATCCCAGGGATACATTATACAGCAATGCAGAATGATACTACCAGAATATAAGTTAGGCATTGTGTGTTGAACAAAGAAAAAAA